TTTGATAGGATTAATCGAGCCATTACTTAATTACAGGCTTGAGAAGAAGCTGAAAATCTATGAGGAGGATTTACAGCTCTTCCCATAAATCAAGGACAGATTTTTTTCATAACTGCTTTCCACTAACAGGATCATTAGCAAGGAAATGAAGGAAAGAGCTGGTGTTGCTGCTGATTCTGCTATCCAGGTAGCATTTCCAATGCTGGTCAGGAGCATTACAGTAATTACTCACTGTTAGAATGTGAAAATGGTTTAATAAATTTATGATTAAAATGTTCAATCAGGATTAGTAGCTCTAAATTGCAAAAAAAAAGCAGTGCAATTGTTCCATCATACTGTAGGCTTAGACTGTAGACTTTTGGCATAATGGTTCACTGCTACACTCTCATTGCTTGCTGAATTTGTAAATAATTACCTTACATTGAACTCAGAGACCAAGGATGGGGTCTCATTACAACTGCAAAAAAGCTTTGAAAAGAAATATTCAGTATTTGCTAAGTTAACACAACATCTCTACTACTGACTATTGATGGTGTAAACACTGCTTTAGAGTTGAGATTATGTCTAAGTATTTCTATACTCTGTTAGCAACCTCTTTTATTTTACCATGTAGAATAGCAGAGAGTTTGGTCCATGTTGGCCCAATAGCATCATGCTATTGCCGCACATTTGTCTGCCACACATCCACGATTGTACTGAGATCTGGTGACTGTACATTTGAGTACAGCGAGCTCACTTGCATGATCAACAGTTGATGTTTTGAGATTATACTTCTACAGAATATTATACAATGCATTTTAAAGATAAATGATCCAGTTAGCAAGCTCCTCAGAGGTCAGAGGAGAGTGGCTTGAGTTTTTCAAGCTAATGAAGGCAACAGTAGCTTAAATAAACACAAGTTACAAACAAGGTATGCAGAAGAGCATCTACAGCAGCAGAAGACCACACAGGAAACCGAGGTCATAATTTACACAGGTTCATGAAAATTGAAAAATAGAATATGGGAAAAATGGTGCCTGGGCTGATGATGATCAATTTCTGCATACACAACATAAAGACACGGATCAATCCTGCCTTGTATCAACAATTCAGGCAACTAATTGTAGTGTAATGAAGTAGGAGATATCTTCTTGGCACACTTTGGGCTCCAACTTGTTCATGAACACACCTTAAAGGAAGCATAGGGGCGGGGGCCAAATAATCACAAGCATAATAAATGCGAGTTGTTTAAATCCCGCAGCCTACTTAAGTATTGTTGCTGACCATGTCTATCGCTTTGTGACCACAATGCACCCATTCCCTGCTGGCTGCATCGTCATGTCACTGTCATATCATCTCAAACTGGTTTGTTGATCATGCAAGTCACCAGATCTCAGTACAATTGTGGATGCGCGGCAGACAAATGTGCAGCGACAGCGTGATGCTATCGTGTCAATATGGACCAAACTCTGCTATTTTACATGGTAAAATAAAAGAGGTTGCTAAAAGAGTTTGCAAACACTTGAAATGTTTATGCCGTCAGTAGTTAGTAGTAGAGATGTTGTGTTAACTTATCAAATATTGAATATTTCTTAAACTGAACTGTAATAAGACCCCATCCTTGGCCTTTTGATTACAATGTAAGCTAATCATTTACAAAATCAACCAAAGACTCTCCAAACACTCAGGCTCTGAGCTGAGAAGGGGTGTCTATCCTCACTAAACACTTAGATGTGCGAGGAATGGCTAACTATGAGCCAGCTGGCATCCCCACTTGCCTAGCACCTCTAACTATCAGTCACTTTTCATACTTTCTACTTCTCCATACTCTCTCAGTGCACTTGCTAATAGTCCATTATCTTCTTTTTTGTCAGGGTCCCCCACCCAGCTGCACATCTATCAAGTTTGCTTTTGTATTTGTTGGTTCTCATTTCTGCATCGGCTCTGCCAACTGGCATATACACAAAGCTTGCATCAGCAACCGGCCACATTTCGCAGCACCACTTATCAATCCACTCAGCAGTCACACAGGAGAGGCCTGGCTTACCCACAGTGAAGAGTAGAGAGGTGTATTAGAAATGTGTTCCAGAGAGTCTGTCAGCAATTACGCTTAGAAGACGCACGTGGGAAACATGAAGAGGTAGCTATGTTGCGTAAGGAGCACAAGATAGTCTGCCGTCCTTTCATACCCTGATAAGGAAAAGGAGAGAGGTGGATGCGGTTCCAAAGGTTTCAAATGTAAGATTGTGTGTTTCAGTATCAGGGTTAGATCAGATTTAATGGTGTTGCAGTCTTCATAACACTGTCAAGACAACAATTACACATGCATGTGATTACTAAGTATTAAGTGTGTGTATTAATCTGACACTGATGGAATGCCATTCATTTTTGCAGGCCTATCATAAATGAAGGCACTGAACAAAACACACATAATGATCCACTTTATTGCTACCCTTTCAGGAGTGTCACCAGTGTCATTTCAGTTCATCCTCTGGACACCATGGAAAGGTCTTCCAAACCTAATGGCTCATCTGTTCAATATTTAGTCAGATATTTCAGTCTGGACCACAGCGGACCTGCTAAATAACAGACTAACACTGATTCACTCAATAGAACTGTGCTAAAGAGCCTATTCATGTATTATCATGGCTAAAAAAAGAGATAGGCCTATTAGGACTTAATGATTTCCATAATGATGGGTTAAAGGGTGAGGATAATTTGGTTATTCAAATTGGGTGAAAGCTGAACTTTAATCTGCCTTAAACATTTATTACAATATGAGAAACTTACCAGCATTCAGAGTGAAAGAGACATAAGATCTTTAATATCTTGATGACATTGCCTAACATGTCCAATATTTGGCTATTTCCTTGTAGAAAGCATGCTATTCCCCATTTTAAAAGGTTATCTCTGTATGTCAGCTGTAAGTTTGATCCCCCTATGTAGCATCACACAAATTAGAAGAGGGAATGATATAGACAGAAGTTAGTAGTTATCTTAAACGCATCCTTGTGCCCTGCTGCGGTAATTACAGTGTTAATTATATAGCTACACCCTCTGTTGGCCTCTGATTGCTCAATAGCTGCTAAATCATAGTTTAAGGAAACACAGCTAGTACCTAACTTTGTCTCTGTGAATTGTAGTGCCGGGAAGGTAGCGTATCCAAAAAATGGCAAGTGAAAAAATAGTCCAGGATGTCAGGTGTTGTAGAGTTTGATGGCCATAATGAACGACTTCCTGTGGCATTCTGTTTTGCATTGTGGTGGAAGGAGTCTTTTCCTGCAAATGCTGCTGTGACTGTTCAACATGCCACGGAAAGGGTGTAAAGCATCCAAAACTGTGCTTAACTTGGACAGCATCCTCCTTTCTGACACTGACATCAGAGAGTCAAGCTCTACAGCCATGATCCTACTGGGCCAGCAGCAGTTTGTTGATGCCCCCTACCCTCAGTCTGCTGCCCGTGGACACCACAGACTCAAAGCATGCAGAGCATCATCCAACAAATATTAAAAGACCTCAGCTTCTTCAGAAATAGAGATTGCTTTGGCTTCTGTGTTTTAAGTTAAGTCCAGTATTGTTTTATTCTATTCATTTATTTGAATGAAAACAGTTCCCTGTAAGATGAGTTTATGAGAGTGGAACCTGGGGACAGTACCATCAAAACAATTAGTGAAATTAGCCTAAAAAGCTCAATAGTACTGCAGAGTCAGGTCTAACAATCTGTAGCTTTGGCAATTTACACAATACACATAGTCATTTTATCCGTTGTTGTTATAGGACATATTGATTAGTGGACTTTTTGAAGACTTCACAAGCACCGCAAGCAGACCAAAGACACTGCCGGGAGCATTTCCAAACAGCTACACATAGATTATTAAAGCCACTGAGTCAGCAAATTCATTTGTGAGCGCTATTACAATACTGAAAACACGTGCATGGGAAATCTTGCAGAAAATTAATTTAGTCCTGCCTCTTTTCCCTCTGCCTCCAGTCTGACTGTGCCAAACATCTTCAGCACTATTGGATTACTGGTAATTGCAAAATATCAAAAACCGAGTCGGCAGCGGTTTTGTAGCAGTATGCTACAAAAAGTGAGCCATGATTGATTTTATCATCCAAATGGCAATAAGAGTCTGAGAATCTGCCTCCGAGTGAGCCTAGGTGAGAATTTATGGCAGAGGAAAAAGGCTGAAATGCGTAATGTGTTTAATTAATTCAAAATATAATAAACATGACAGTGTGCGTGGGTTATGCTCAGCATTTCACATGTCTGCAAAATAATTTAATTCAATTACATTTCTGCATGCAGCAACATGCTATCAAGTATAATTTTGTTATTATGGCATCAACCTCTGGTTCCCCTCTCGTCCTCTGAGCTCTTCACAGTCCTTTATATTGCTATTATATTTCAATTCTCTGGTATTCCTGAACTTCTCTCATGCACCATTTTTTTCTACTGCATCAGCGTTTCCTTAACATCTGTCAAAGCACTGGAAGAGCAATACTTTATTCAAACTGAAGAGTCATGAGTGACACTGGCTTTCACACTGGGCAATGCTCACTCTTTCTGACTGATTACAGTACAGGAGCAGGGCAGAAGCCAAAGTGCTGGGTTCACGGTAAATTATACCATCCACTGGATGATTGATGGGAGGCGGAAAGATTTTTTTTCCCCCTTTTTATTCTATCTGTGTAAGGTGGAAACTGACTCTTGACCAAGTAAAACACAGCTAAAACACAGCTAGCTTGATTAAGATAGTTATCTGACTAACTGCAGTCACGCTGGGTAAAATAAATAAGAGCAAATGGAAGTTAGGGGGTCAAAGATTTACTTTAATACTTGAGCTGTCTCTAATGACTCTGCTAAACAGAGAGAGGACGTAGACTTCAACATCATCGCCCTCTTACAGATCTGCTTTGGCATTTCACCTGCTCAGCTCTTAGACATCAAAGTAAGTCAGGAATAGAAGTGAAAGTAGCATGATGTCATTCCCAGACAATGTCCTCCTGTACTCATACGCCATGCACTCATTCTGGACCACTTCTTTAACACTGGCCAGACGAGTGGACCTCAGTATCAGCTGTTCCAAATGTGGATCTCTTTGGATAGCAATGACTGAAAGATGTGACAGAGTGCCACTGTTCAGATAAAAGAGTCATTTTCTCACAAGATCAGTGTGCCACCCTGCTGTCCTTTGTCCCGTGGGCTATTCTGAGAGAGACTGCGAGGGTGCTTTTAGTATACACTGTATGTTAGGGCTATATATTTATTTATATACATTTATTTATATAAAAACATCAATAGATTATGAGGGTGTCATGTGGGAACTTTTATGTATTTTATTTAGAATGAGTTCTACAGTATGATGTAGCTGTAATCATGAGAAAATGAAACAGTTGCAGTTGTTTAAAGGTTAGGTACAGGGATACTCTGTGTGACGTGCAGCGTGTTGTCTCCTGGCTGTGGCCAGCTTCAGTGTGTCTTGTATTTAATGTCAGTATTTGGAATGCATTTAAGACTTTACTAAATGAACGATGCACTATGAGAGCCACCTGCACTGAGGATGATTCTTGAACGTCAGTGGAGACTGGTAAGGATTCTTGCAATTATATTCATTGACCACTTTGTTTGAGTACATCTGTTCATCTCCAAATATCAAAAAAGCCAATCATATTGCAGTAATTCAGTCCATTTAAGCATGTCAACATGTTCTGTTGAAGCTCAAAGCTTTAAAGAAAGGTGATTTAAGTGACTTTAAATGTGGCGAGGTTGGTTAAGCCACTGGCTTACGTCGGAAACTGCTGATCTGCTGGGATTTTCTCACACAACCATCTCTATGGTTTATAGATAGTGGTCTGAGAAAGAGCAAAAAGAAATCCACCGAGCTGGAAAAAAAATGCTTTTGTTGATCCCAGAGGTTCAGATGAGAATGGCTACACTGTGTCAAAATAACAACTTGTTACTGCCAAGGTATGCAGAACAGCATCTCAGGGCACACAGCACATTGAACCTAAAAGCACCAACACATGTCAGCTAAGAACAGGAAACTGAGGCTACAATTTACACAGACTCGCTGAAACTCGCTGAAACCTACCACCAGGTGGGCATTCTAGCCTAGTTATTTCATTTCTATTACTTGAATCTTTAAAGTCCATAGCCTCTTCCCTCGGTATGTCTATACCTGTACCTCCTGTGGATCTCTGCATACCAGACACAATGTATCATCATCGTCTTCCCTGGCCCTGTAAGAATGCATGCATGATAGTATGCCAACGGATAACATATCACCTATAAAAAGGAACCCTCTTGACCACAGTAACAGACAGTAAGGGCTGCTTTTACAGCACATGAGTGCTGGTGATAAAAGACCGAGCAGATGCCTGCATACACGCGCGCTCACAGAAACACATATGCACACATACACACTAACAGATGTGGTCTTGCTGACACCTCACAAAGGTCAGCCATCAATAATGCTCTAAATTCGTACAGCTGTCAAGCTGACAGAAGAAAGGGCTCTTTATGGATGTGCTAACGGCAACATAACACCTCAGCTTTAACGCTGCTGATGAAATGCTGTTAATGTGACTGAAGTTATAAGATGACACAAATAATAATCACTCTTACTGAAGCATTAAACAGTGAAAATGTATCAGAAATGTGCAGTATAGTAAAGAAACTCACTTGAAAATCAAATTCAGACATAGTTTAAACATAAATTTGGCATCTAAAGATGAAAACCCTGCATATAATGTTTTCAATAATTTCCATATTACTAGAAAATTAGAACAACTCAAATTTTTGGCTTTGTGTGTGATTCTGTATCAACTCGCTAGACCATGTCTAATGGCCCTCAAAAGGTTTTTAAGAATTTATGAGCAAAAGCTGCTTACTTTCACTTTAGAGTTACAACACATCTGCAGTCTATGTCTCTGTTACACTGAGACCTAAATAGATAAATAGACCAGCCACAACAAAGAGGTATTAAGATAGATAGATAGATAGATAGATAGATAGATAGATAGATAGATAGATAGATAGATAGATAGATAGATAGATAGATAGATAGATAGATA